GGGACCCCAGACCCAAAAAATGACATCAAAATGGGACCCCAGACCCAAAAAATGGGACCCCAGACCCCAAAAATATCCACTAAAATGGGACCCCAGACCCCAAAAAATGACACCAAAATGGGACCCCAGACCCAAAAATATCCACGGAACGGGACCCCAGACCCCAAATACACCCGGAATGGGACCCCAGACCCCAAAAATATCCACTGAGAGAGACCCCAGACCCAAAAAATGGGACCCCAGACCCAAAAATGACATCGAAATGGGACCCCAAACCCCCGGCGGGCGAGGGGGGGGAGGGGTCCGGGGCCGCCATCGCTGGGGGGGAGGGGACACGGTGAGACCCCAAAAATGGGACCCCAGACCCAAAAAAATGGGACCCCAGACCCAAAAAATACACCCGGAAAAAATACACCCCAGACCCCAAAAATACCCAGTGAAATGGGACCCCAGACCCCAAAATGACATCTAAGTGGGACCCCAGACCCAAAATACACCCGGAATGGGACCCCAGACCCCAAAAATGACATCGAAAGGGGACCCCAGACCCCAAAATCCCCTCTGAAAGGGGCTCTGAGTGCCAGGGACCCCAAAATTACCACGAAAATGGACCCCAGACCCCAAAATGACACCAAAAGGGGACCCCAGACCCAAAAATCACCACTAAAAGGGACCCCAGACCCAAAATACACCCAGAAAGGGACCCCAGACCCAAAAATCCCCTCTGAAAGGGAGCCGAGGGGTGCGAGAGCCCCAAATCCTCCCTAAGGGGGTGCCCGGTGNCCGGTCCCGATGGTCTCGATGACCTCGTACTCGTCCCCCACCTCGAAGGTGACATCGAGCGCTCGAGCTTTCAGCAGCGCCAGCGGCCCGGGGGGGTCCCGGGGGGCTCCGGGGGGCGAGGGGGGGGAGGGGTCCGGGGCCGCCATCGCTGGGGGGGAGGGGATGAGGTGAGACCCCTGGAATGGGACCCCAGACCCAAAAATATCCACTGAGAGAGACCCCAGACCCAAAAATGACATCACAAGGGAACCCCAGAGACCCCCAGGGGGACACGGTGAGAGACTGAAATGGGACCCCAGACCCAAAAAAATACACCCGGAAAAAATACATCCCAGACCCAAAAATACCCAGTAAAATGAGACCCCAGACCCAAAATACACCCGGAATGGGACCCCAGACACAAAAATATCCACTGAGAGAGACCCCAGACCCAAAAATGGGACCCCAGACCCCAAAAAATGACATCAAAATGGGACCCCAGACCCAAAAAATGGGACCCCAGACCCAAAAAATGACATCAAAATGGGACCCCAGACCCAAAAAATGGGACCCCAGACCC